CACCTCTGTCCCCTAAAGATGATGCCATTTTCTCAAACTGTAGCAGTGTGAGCCATTGTCCCACGGCTGGCACAGAGGAGCAATGCTGGAGAAGAGGAAGATAGTATCCACATATCCACTAAGACATTATCAGTACGTTGTACATGGAACATAGGATTTTAACAATTTAAGAAACCGTAGGCACAAGCTAGTCAAACACTCATTTTACAAATCAACGGAGGCCCAGAGCAATAAAGGCATTTACCTCTCATTCACTGGATTGCTGCAGCGGGGTCTAGATGCAGCCCTCGTGACTTCATTAACAGTTGTCAAACCAAAGGTGGTGTACTTAAGTTCCATTGTCATCTAACACATTGGCAATGCTCCATGTATTTTTGTCTCTATGTTTCAGCACTCTTTGGAAAGGACAGCTTTTGATATCGTCTGAACTGAGCACCTGTTAAAACTAGATTAGTCTTCCCTTACGGCAATAATTGGTGTTTCTGATTCTTAATTACCAAAGAATTGAAAGCCAGCCCTAACTAACAATCTGAAAATTAGGTGAAAGGACCCGAGGACAATCCTATCATTGCAAAAATGTGTCACTGGCTTAGCTGAAACATTATCTGGGGTAAAATCATAAATTTTTCTTTACTGTGGGATTACTTAAAAGAGTCTCAAAAATGACAAATAACACAAACATCTTCAATGAGTGCCCGTAGAGCAGCATTTGTGGGGACTTCTGATGTTTTGGGGGCAAGAATGGATCTATATTAGATTCTAGTTCTCATTCTACTTCATTTTACTGTAAGAACTTCTTTATGTTAATAGGTACTATACAGTCTCAAAGCAGACCTAAAAATTAACTTTTTCTCTATTTTAGCACCAATTCACTGATATTTCATTCACTAGACATCATAATCTCTCTCTTGAAATTGAAAAGCTATGCAAAAAATATACATATTTTTTCAAGGTGAAGTTTGAGCACTGTTAGCAAAATCTTTGGAAGAATATTCAAAAAAAAAGTATGACAAGTAGAAGGGAAATTTATAATAATAGACCCAGAAAATAATCACTGACCTGCCATTTACCATCACAGTTTACATATGATTTGGCAATAGTAAATAATAATGACGCTGGGGTTCTTGTTTGTGGAGTCGATGAATGAACTTAGCAAACAGTCAAGGTAGGAAAGCCAGGGAGAGGCTTTTATTTAGAGATACAGTGAGAGAATAGAGCTCCTGGCTCACACCAGGAGGAGTGCGTTGTCTAGGGGATTTATAGGTGGTTGAGAGACAAAGAGCTAGGGATGCAGATCCACCAAACGGTCTCTACATGTTTATCTTTAAAGAGACACTAAGTTTCTTATCAGTTTTCCAGACTATTTTGCAGAGTTAATATAAGAAATTTACTGTGTTAATTCTTTCTCAGAATAATAGTTTCTTGGTTTGGGAGCATATCAATCAAGGCTCCTTGTCTTGCTTTCAAGGTGAGCAGAGTTACCTTCTGTTTGTTAAATAGTAAGTTAAGAATCTTACTTCTTAACTTCTTGGGTGTAAAAATGCAATCTTATCTTTAAGAAGGAATCCTTCCTGCACTTCACTATGTTGTTTATGGCTGGGCCTGCTTGCTATATTAATTGCCCAGGTTATATATTACTTGATTAGGGGCTAGAGGAGGAAAAGCAGCATCTGGGTAAAGTTAAAGATAAACTGGGTCTTTTAAGCAGGCTAAAGTAAATTTTACGATAGCCTCATCTAATTGACACAATGGAGACATGGGCCATGCTGAGCTATTTCCTTACCTGGGGGATGTTCAAACATTCCAGGCCAGGTTATTCCTGGCTTTTTTAGTTTTAACTAATCTTCACTGAGGAATGCTTATGTTCTTAGTTTGATGTTTTATTTTAGAGAATTAGTGTGACTTTGTCTTTGCTTAATTGTTTCATATGGAGTTTTGGTAGGGGTCTTTTTCCAGAGGCCCTCACCCTACTCTGACTACACCCACGATTCCTGTCTCAATAACACATGAATAATTTTTCATTCAAAGAGCTAAAATATCTTTAAAGTCTTATTAATTTTCACTGTGTCAGTTAAGGTGACCAACTCATCCTAGTCTGCCTAGGAAATTCAGTCCCATGTAAACCAGGATGGTCAGTCACCCTATCAAAGAAGAATTACTCTTCTCTGAGTCCATGTGGGCTGCTATAACAGAGTACCCCAGACTGCGAGGCTTGCACACAACAGAATTTTATTTCTCGGGGTTCTAGAGGCTGTGAAGTCCAAGATCAGAGCCCTGGCAGGGTAGCACTCGGTAAAGGCCCTCCCCCTGGTTCACCGCCTGAGTCCTTGCATGATGGAGGGATTGGGGAACTCCGTGAGGTCTCTTTTATGACAGCATTAATCTCCCTCATGAGGGTTCCACCCTCATGACCTAAGCACCTTTCAAAGGCCTCACCTCTTAAAACCATCACCTTTGGGAGTTAGGATTTCAACATATGAATTTTTCAGACCATAGCATCTCTATTTCACTGAAGTACAAGTACAGAGCAATCAAACCATTTGCCTGAAAAAGAGACAACCGAGTAAGCTTAGGCTCTAGGCAACAAAGAATAACCTCTCTCCCCCAGCTAAATAGGCCCAAAAATCTTTCATAATATCCATTCTAATCTATTAGTGCCTGTCTGTTCAGGTGAGTTACCAACCAAAGTTTTCATTTGTATTTGGTTTTGACCAACACACACCCAATCCTCTAAAGGAGTTAGTCATAAGTTCTACTGTTTTCATTACAGAAACACTTTGAGTAAATAGCAGGTATTCCATTACCCAAAATCCAATTAAACAAGTAGTTGGCTAATACAGACAGGTAAAAAGTATTCATTTAGAATTTAATATTTATGCCAACATATTTTCTGACAGTACCATAAATGATTAAGTAGACAGATCCATTTAATATTTTTCAATCCAATCAAATAGATGCCTTTACTAAATGTTCATTTTTCCATTAATGTTTTTATACACCTACCCTGTTGGTGATGTGTGAAACTGGGAACTAAACTTCATAAAAATTCATTATTAAGAAATGCAGCAATTCTGTTACAGGAAGAGTCCCTAAAGCTGAGAAGGAAGCAAGGACTCAAATTTTAGTAGGAAAAGGCAGTAAGACAAAGGGATCCAAGACAGTTTCTTTGGCACAAGAGTTCTCAAAGCTGGCTGCACCTCAGGATTACCTGTGTGCCCAGGCCACATTACAGGTCAATTAAATCAACATTTCTGAACGTTGAGACCCAGACATCAATATATTTTAAAGACTACCAAGTAATTACCATGAACAGCCAAGTTTGAGAACCCACTGCTTTAGCAGCTTCAGGTGGGTGTGTTTTTATTTGTTTCTGTGTTCCCCATACTACTGATTTTCTATTACTCCTGTAAGAATTAATGACAGCTAATATAAAAATAAGAACCTCCTTCATTTCACTCCCAACTGTTTGTAAATAGAGTTTCATTTTACTGAATTGTACAGAAATGCTTTCAGGAAGGAAGCTGAATAAAAACTTAGAAGCAAGACAAACATGAAAGTATTTCACAAAACTCTAACTTATTTCCTTTACTAGACTTACCTAGGTCTAGTAAAATCTCTTTCAGGTGCTTAATCAAATACTTTACCAAGGGTTAGACTCCTGTAATGAATGAGTTTCTACAATGAAAATCTGCTATGTTGTTTTAGCCTCTTCATTTCCTTTACCGCTTAGATTTTTTTCACAGCAAAGTAATATAGTAACATATGCAGATATGAGACTCCTAAAGAAAACATCTCTAAGCCAAGTGACTAATTTGGGGAACACCTAAGTAAATTTTTCCTTAAAGTATCAGACTGTTTCAGTACTTCCCAAATGCACATGCTATATTTCTCAAGTAGTTAATCAGGCATCACACACAAGTTCAAATTTTAAAAATTTGCATTAGAAGAAAAAAGCAATCAACTGATTGAACTGCCTTGTTTAAGAAATGAGGAAGCTAAGGTCTAGGAAGGTCAGGCAAGCCCTCCAAGGACTCAGGTCCCATTTCAGCCTATTACATAGCATCTCTGACCTATGGAAGCATCAGAATTCAAGAAAGCATTACATAATTTTTAAAACTCATAGCAAATTAAAAATAACCACTCTAAATGTATGAACTACTAAAACACAAAAAAAATAATTGAGGTATCGGCTTTTAAGCTGGAACCAATTTGTAAAAATGTCAGTAATTGCAAAAAAAAAAAAAAAAAGGAAGCCTGAGATAGGTACTAGAGGGTTGGATTTTTTTTTTACAGATGGTCTTAAATAAATTATTTAATACAGACTGTATGTAACATTGAGTTTTTTTAAGTTTACATTCTGGTAAGTAATGTAGCATACCATTTCTTTGGGATAAAAATAATAGAATTACAAGAATACCTTTTATGGACATTAGGCAATATTGTACCACAGGTACATATACACCTATTTATTCTTTCACAATAGAAAATGGACACTAAATAATGGCATTATTTTCTTAGTACACAATATTGGTGGCCCCAAAGAAGCCACACCACCAGGACTCCTGCCTGTCTGCAGTCTCTCCCACATTCCTCTGGGGTTGGCCATATGGCTTGACTTGGCCAGGAGAACATAGCGAACATAACACAAGCAGAGGCTGAATAAATGCTTACACACTGGGGCTTATCCTCTTCGAATGTTCCCTCTAGAAAGCCAGCTCCTAACATAAGTTCATTTACCTGGAAACTGCCATGCTGTGAAGAAGTCTAAGCTAGCCTCATGGAGGCGGCACATGAAGGATCCCAGCAAACGGCCACAAATGAAGCTCCAGATGTGACTCCAGTCAAGTTATTTCAGCTGGTTTCCAGCCTTTCAAGCCAACCCAGCTGAGGCCTCAAACATCACGGAGCAGAGATAAGCCACCCCATATCCTGACTCCAAAATTCTGACCCACAGAATCATGAACAAATGAAATGTTGTTCTAGGCCAGTACTTTCTGGGGTAGTTTTTCATGCAGCAATGGATAAGCAAAAAAAAAAAAAGAGTATTTAAAATAGGAAAACCTATGATTTGCTCAGTGACATTAGCTGATTTAAGGTGATTCCACCAGGATTTTAGTCATTTTAACACTAAAATGGATCTCTACAGAAATCCTGGTCCAATAACCACAGATGAAGCACCAAAGCTTCCAAGAGAAAAGCCAAGGTCTTCCTTCTTCAAAGGTGGCAGAGAATAAAGCAAATGCCCATTTATGTTCACAGCTCCCCTCTCTGCTTCTTCACAATTGGAGGTCAGGTGTGTCACCCCAACCCAGAGAGGAGAGCCATCTCCTGATCTTCATTAGAGCATGGTAGGATGACCAGGTAAATTCTTCTCCTTAGCTTTGAGTTTCAGTTCCTTTTGACTCTGTCTTTAAGTTCCTCATTCCAGGGACATTAACAACTTCTCTACAAATATTTATGCTTACAGTAAGTATCACAGAGATCAAGAGTTTCACTGAAAGGTGATCAGTTTTCACTGTAGGTAAGCAATGTTCTTCACCAAGAAACTATAAGGCCTTTAAAGATTAAGATGATCATGAATAGCAGATAGCTCTTAGTTACATGTTTAAGACTTAAGTCATTAAGACACTTAATTATATCCATTCATTCTAGGCATGTTTCTTTACAACATTATACATTAAATACTATACTCTTATATGGCCTTTAATCGGTAAACACTTTTAAGATTTTTGTTGTTTATATATATCCCCTGAAGTGTTTTGTGGGTTATTTGTGTATCATAATGTTAATTTCTCTGACTTACTACTTGCCTGAGGTCATCCCCATTTTTCTGATTCACTCTGCAACTCATTTATTCTATTACAACATCTACATGTCACCATCTTTTTGGAGAGGATTAGAGGGTTTCTCAAATATATTTGCAGTGAGGTCATGCAAAAAGGAAAAGAAAACAGTGTCTCTGACATACTTCATGACCTGATGACCTAACCTTACTTTAGAGTTTTCAGTTTTATGAAGAACTCCATGTGTATATGTGTGCATGTGCATGTTAGTCATATAAGTACATGGACTGTCCTACTCACCAAAACTTCACTTTGAAATTTAAATTAGAAGCCATCTAATAAAATTATCAGTCATCTAATAAAAACTACAAGCCAGTCTATGCCCATTTTTAAAGTATGTATACACAACATAACACTCAGATATCTGACATACACATGCACATATATACCAGAAGAAATTTTAACAATAAATGATGACCTTTGCATTCATTATCTCATTTGATATTTGTCACAACAATGCAAGGTATTATTATCCTCATCTTACATTTGAGGAAACTGGGGCTCAAATAGAATGAATTAATTGACCTGTGATCATATAGCTAAAAATTATGGAACCAGAATTTGTACCCAATGTACTTGCTCTTTCTACTGTGACACACAAAACCAAAAGTGGTTGCTAAAGAGCTACGTAACTCCTAAACGCAGGCAACACATTTCGATGAACTGTTGCTAATGGCTTTCATAAGAGTCCAAGGATGAGAAATCTGAATGTACAAGGTACTGGAATAACACACAGGAATCAGAAATATACACTTAGGACTAGGGAGAGACAGACTTTGATGACCAGGAGCTACCATCCCATTACCCAAACCTCAAAGGATTCAATCCTCTGTGCACAGAGGTGTTCTCTCAACTTGCCACTCTTAGTCTAAAACTCTTCCCAGTCAACACCAGGGAACAGCTTAGCGAGTTCCAAAATCAGAGGACCTCACCCCTTAGTCTGTCCAGTAGACCTTACGCTCACTCCTAATTACTATAAAAAGTATCTCTCCTATACACTCGGAGAACAAGAATGGAAAGAGAAGGACAAAGAGAAGATGGTAATGATAGGCACTTAATAGTTACACAAAATACAGTTATACAGTTATAGTTACTCTGGAAATACTTTATCCAGAGTCTCATCCCAAAAACATACTATGAAAATCTCCATTTATCATTTCCAACACTCTAAGAAGCACTCATTCAGTGTCAACATCTAATCCCAGGTCATATATTATATATTTACATAAATCAAATCTTAATGTGCATACATGTCACCTGGAGAGCTTGCTAAAAATGTAGGTTCTGGGTTTCTAGTAGGTCTGGGTTGGGGGCCCCAAATTCTGCATTTCTAACAAGCTCCTAGATGATGCTGAGGCTGCTGATCCATGGCCCACACTTTGAGCAGCAAGATTATAGATGAGTTCGAGCCATTAGCCATTCAATGTATCCCCTAGACAAATGTCTTATCTGTAAGCCAGTCTCAACAGATTTCATACAGATTGAACTGGATGAGAAATACAGCAGGAAAGGTGGCATCGCTAGGACCGCATTAGCACTGTCCGCTCCTGGCCAGCGAAGCCTGCAGGAGCACTGATGAAGTAAGGCCCCAGAACAAGGTGTTTCTTGGTTCTGGTCCAGAGTGAAAAACAAAATGAGGTCTGGAAAGGAAGAGGATTGATCACCTTGTCCCAAATTATTCCTGGCCTCAATGCATCAGTACAAGACATGAAAAAGTTCACCACTAACCAGACTCACTGGAGGGAATGAAAATCACCTGTCCAACACTGGCTATAGTGTTAGCTAACACAGCACTAAAAAGTATGCCACTAGGGACATGTGAGGCCTCACTTATAAAATTCTTCCCAAATTCTTTTTAAGGGCAGTTTCTTTATTCAGTGAACCAAACAATGGCTGAAGTCTTAAGAAAAACAATAATAATTCTGTGAAATTAGGTCCTATTCCACATTAAATCAAACCAACTTGGACTAATTGCTTTCATTATTGCTACTGACCTTATTATTATTTGTTCTCAAGAAACTGACATAGGAGTTGGAGTTAAGAACAATCAAGAAGTATTTATTAAGCTACTAACACGTGTCTACTATGAAGCCAGTCACTACTAGGGGGACAAAATAAGGAAGTTCATCAAGTCAGAACTCCAGAGAAGCAAACTAAAATACACAAAACAGTCCCTTTGCCCAACTGCAATTCCTGTCATCCATAATCATAGTAAGTAGTCATAGTAATTATTACCTTTGCTGGTATTATGATAAGGAAATTTACTTGAGCTGAGAGACAAAAAAGAAAACATGTCTCTTCAGTAAAGCTCTTTCCACCTTCTTGAAATTTTCTCCCACCCTCAACAAAAACTTCATAAAGCCATTCATGACCCTTTTGCCCAGTTCTGCCAAGTCAACTCCTCTGGCTGGCCTCACGCCCTTCTCAAGTATCCGGGCATTACCACATGGCCTTACCCGAGTGAGGCCCCAGCTTGTTTTTCCAGAGGGCGGCAGTCATTACCTGAATGGCAGGTTTGAGATGTAAGCTGCCTTAACGTGGGGCTTTGTAGACATCATGGGTTGTCATTAGTGTCCTCTGAAAATAACAATCAGCTGGCAGACCAAAAAAGGGCATTCCAGGAAAACTCTTTAATTCATTTGGGAAAGTCATGGAAATCTAAATATATTTATCTTTCAGTTATTCAAAGAAAGGTCTGACATACATACAAGAATAATAGTCATCTAAAAGTTTACAAACTACACTTGCTACAGTACTGAGTTAGGAAAGCTTACACACCTCTGAGCGGGCAGCTCTGGGGAAGGCGGTAGCCTCTTTAATCACTCCTGCATGTACAGGGGACTGAACCACTGTAACAGACCTTATTACAGGGATATGGATGGTTCCATTTCCCACTTCATCCCTTCTTCTTGCTTCTACAGTGTCAGGTGGTTGGAAGATTCTGGAAGAGGCCTTTCTACAGAAGACAGACATCATCTGTCTTCCTCCTCTGCCCCCACCTCTATTATGGATGCACTTAAGGCCACTATGTCCAAAGGGAAGTGATGACAGCTCTCAAGTTTTCCCTCTTCCACCCCAACCACACTGCCCCCGGGCCAACCAGAGGTCAGAGTGACCAGGACCACAGGACCAGCTTCTTTGGCAGACCACACTGGGGACACCTTCCAATAGCAGATGTCCAGTGTCAGTTTTTCCCCCATCACAGGAAGCAGAAGGAAGAAACAGGTTCCCCCCTGCTCCAGGGACAAGCACAGGCCTGCTAACTATTTTTATTGCAGGCAAAGGGTTAAAACCACAGCCTCCAAAAATACTCCTGCAGAGTCTTCAGCTGGTAGAAGGAAGCTGGCAAGCCAGAGACCCACCTAGAGGTCCAGACACTGGGCAGGCTGGGTGAGAAGAACCCCAAAAAACCTGCAGTGGGGTGTTTGCAGGAGATGGAGCCTAGGACTAGGAGTTCAATGCTTTGATACACAAATATGTCTTCCAGTATCTTCCTGGTAATGCTTGAAACCAAATTTACCCCACCTTGCCCCAAGGTGTCTAAGGGGGACAATTCAGAGCCTACTCCCATAATTCTTCGGGCATAAAATTTCTAAGTGGTCTCTGCTACACTTAAAGGATCCAAATGCAATCTGAAAGGCACTCCTATGTTTGGGTCCCACAGCAGGGGGAGCGTTAGGGGACCCCTCGGATATTCACTTCCTGCCCCCAGCTTTGTCTTGGTGCCTCCAAGTGATCTCTGACATTCATATATTGATATAAAAGCATCTTTGATGTTATATAAATATCAATCACCAGTGCCTCTCCTCTTGGTCCCATCTCATTTCCTCTCTTCCGTAGTCAGCCCCAGCTAAATGCTTCTTGAGGGGAGGGAAAGGCGCGGGTAACCTCTTGCTATCAGAAGAGGAGAGGGAATGGGGAAGTTAAGAGAAGGTTAAAAGAGACTAAAAACTGCAGACAGCAGTCATGTTACCTCAGTTTCCCCCAAATCCCACCCAAACTGAAAGAAACAGAATCCACTCACAGAAAAGGTACAAAGATGGGTTTGACGTCAGGCAGTAAACCAAAAAGTTCCAGTTCCTGCCCTTACAATTATCCCTTCTCTGCATGCTGGCTCCCTTTACAACACAACTTATCAGAGTTTATTTCCATATTGGCATCTGTGTCTTCAAGGCATCCAAGAATCTTGTGTATCTTTCAACAGATCAAAAGGCATGACGAAAAATGTTCTTGGATCAACTCCTAGAAAAATCTTAAACCAGATTTTCCTGGGCTATTTCAGGCCAGTTGGTGCCTGCTATTTTACATTGTGGCATCTTTCTTTTTAAATATGGATTAAATACCCCAGTGAATGAAAAGATTAAAAGTTTACTATTCCAGCAGCACTGGTGTATAAACTGATGTGTTACCTACTTAAAGACTTCTGTGGACTTTCATCACCCACTCTTACTCTTTGGGGCACCACGTTTTTTATGGGAAAAGCAAAGCCTGGGCTTTCCAAGCAGAGGGCAACGACACTTGTCAGTGTTATGAGAGGCGGCACAGAATCCAAATAGGAGTGGAACCAAGATGGACATTCAGATTTGATTGTTTTTAGTTAATTGGAGTTTGAGTTTATAAACAATATGAAATAAAAGACCTATGTAAGATATAAACTGGTTTTTTAATATCTATAGACATGTTCAGCCTCTTTGCACTATGGCAGCAGAGTTGAGCAGTTGCAACAGAGTTTCTCTGGCCCAAAAGCCTAAAATATTTACTGTTTGGTCTTTACATAAAAAATTTGCCAACCCCATCTATAGATATTAGAGCAGGAGAAAAAATCAGTTGAAATTAAGCAAGAACAGCCAAGCCCATCTACGCCAACATTTCTGCCAGGGAGAGGGAATACCTTTCCTACAGTTGAGGAGGACCTTTAACCCCATTGCACCCCATTAAACAGGAACATGGCTAATTTAAAGAACACCTGGATAGTTTAGAAACTAGTGTGATAATTTAAGAGATTGAAAAATATCTGCTTTCCCCCCGGGTAATTCATGCTTATGGCAAAAATTTTAAATAAGGTAAAAGAAATAGTTTGCTTTTTACTTTAGAAATTATAGTTTCCCAAGTGCTTTTCACGATGACTGGTCAACTGTTGCTCACCAAGAAGTAATGCTGCTCTTTGCAAAATGTCAATTTGAGCCGAGGAGGAAGGAAGGAAGGTAATGCTGACCAAGCCTGGGTTTGGTGAGGAGCGCTGGGAGGGCTGCTGTAGCCTTAATTAGATATGAAGAGCAAGAGCGCCCCCTGCTGACCAGAGAGGCAACTTAGACCTGAACTCATTCTGGTCAGGGCTCTCAGGTTGGACAAGGATCAATATCCACACATCCTCTTGAGGGGTTTACCAAACATTCACAATTCATGTCCAAGGCACGGTAGCAACTTTAATCTCAGCAGCTTGCATAACATGTATAGCAGCAAAAACACCCACCAAAAAAGAATCGCCATGTTTTCACTTATCTCCCTTAAGCTTCTCTCCCTCTAAAAATTAAAATTAAAATACAACTTTCTGCAACAGCAAATGGAACACAATTCCTTTAACAATGAACAAAGAACTTAATTCCTCACATGAAATAAGATACCAGCCAACAGTTTTGTTCAAAATTGGTTGAACCATATGAAATTGCCAACATGCCACTTGCTTGAAGCAAAATAAGGCCATTTCATCAGTTCGACCTGAATATGAGTCCATCAGCAATTGACAAAAATATACAAGACAGCCTGTAGGTAGGAAGTTGTGGAAATTCTTCCCTTCTTGACCGATGGACACAGTGATTAAAGGCTGGGGTTACAGGACATGAATTTTCCCCAGGGCATCCTCTGAATTCCTCTGACCAATAAAAGTAGAGGCTGAGAATTTAAGGTACTTTTTTTGTCATTTAGGCAACGCTGCTCCATATGATACATAAATATTTTTTAAATTAGCCTTTTCTTTTTAACACAAGGGTCCTAATAAAGGAGCACTTCAGGGAAAAGAGATTTTAAAATCATGTTCTCACCACTGTCTCACTCTCTGCAGTTCTATAGGACAGGAACGTTTGCTAGAAGGTGACGTAAAACCCACACTGACTGTAACCATGGGGCTTTAGTGGTGACTGTGCTACGGAGACCAGGGGCAGTTGGTTCCGTGGGCCCATTTTTCAAGAGTATCAGCTACAAGAGTCACAAAAGCCATAAATTAAAGGGAGACTGTGAAGTAAAACAGCAATGAAAGAAGGGTGGGGCAGCATAGTCCCACAATAGTCTTAGAAGAGCTGGGCAGGACCTTGAAGGAAAGTTCCAAACAGACTTGCTTGAAGTTTAAGCCAGACATGACTGCCCATACCCTGAGCCACTCCAGTACTTTGATCCATTCCTTAAAATATCCATGACTATTTAAGGTAATGGTCCTTACATTAAAAATACAAAGAATCATGGCTTTTGATATCTCATATTTGAGGACACTGAGGCCAAATGTCATCCTCCAGGACAGGAACACTGAGCATAGTGAAAGCCTAAATTATATCCTTAGCCTGTGACATCAAGGCCCTGGTGAGTCCAGTGTGCAGCTTAGCGATGGCAACCACTGGGCTGGAGGGTTTCTCTTGAGTCTGATTATAATTCAATATAAGTTTGGGGATTTTCAAAAGTTAAAAAACAAAATCCAACAGCTACACACCATATTCATTCTAAGAGCAAAGCATAAAGCCAACCACCCAGCAGAGGGCGCAGGAGGGCAATAAATACTTTTAAAGTCAACACGTAATTTAAGGCTTTAGAGCCCAAATGATTTTATCTTCAACAATATTTTTTCCTGAAAGGTAAAGAAACTTGGTCACTAGCACTCCAGGTTCTGTGTTCTTCCCTAGTAATGAAGCTGATACAAAATAATTCTTTTATGTTTATTTTACCTACAAAGACATGCCATCAAGTTCCTTAGAGTGAGGAACGTGGTAAAATACACTTTAACTGGTAGTTGACACCAAAAAACCAAAAGGATTTTTAAGGGAACTACAAAGAAATTTCTTCCTCTTTAAAACAGATAAATTGGACCCCTCATATTCATTCATTCACTTATTAACCATCAACTGTGTGCTTAGTGGGTTAGACACTGCATCCAGACCTCACGTAGTAGGTCTTCATAGACCTGGAGTGAGGTTTGGGACATTTTAGCCCCTTCCTCAGATAGTCCTTTTGTGGGATACAATACTGGGTATCATTGTGCCGTGTCTCCTTATGCTGCTGTCAGTGCCTCACTTATGGCTGCCATTGTACATTTACACACTTGTGCTCACAGTAAGAGGCACACAATATTTCTGGATGAGTCACTGCACTTCATACGTTTACTCATTTAACATACGTTTGTTGGCAAAGGTCCAGTCCTCAAACTTGAAGGTTCAGAAATTTTATTTTACCAGCCCTCTCAAGGTTGATCAGGAGCTAAGAGAACAGAACCTCGTTAACAAGAGACCCCTATTCATTTATAATTAAAGTGGTGTCGGTGTATATTTCCATTACCCAGTGTATCTTTGTCTCATGACCGATGTGCCTACAAACTAAATTAGGTATCAGGAAATTGGTGATTGTGGAATAAAGGCAAAAGCTATAAAAGGGCTTGAAAGGAATTCTTCTAAGCAACGTGAAAGCTGCTTCAATACCGAATAACAATCTGCCGTGATAAGAATACCATCTCTGCCAGATGGCGTCTGTTCTGGTCCCTGCCTACTCCCCACTTTGGCCAAGTGCCCCCACAGGCATCCACCTGTAAGAGCTCAGCTTGCCTCTCCACCTAGACTGAAACCGCAAGAGGGGAACAGGAGAACTCACAATTGCACCTAGATGACACGAGGCTCTCTGAATTTCTAATGATCAGATGGGTGGATGGAAGGAAGGAAAGGCACCCCAGTTACCCCGACTGCCAGGTTACCAGAGTCCTGAGCTCCTGGCCCCATCTGGGGGGTGTTGGGGTCTCACCCAGAACCATTACTAGTTTGTTCTTTAGCTTTTATTTTAATTTCTTTGCACTCAGAAATGTGTGTATGTGTGGGTGGGTGTGACCACTGATACTTTCCCCTCTCAAATAATGATTGTAAAGAAAAAAGATACATTTGAGAAAGTGGGATATTGTCTATTCTGTTCATGTTAAATCAGTATTTATAAAATGTGGGCTATATACCTCTTAAAAATACAGATTACTCCAAAGACAAAGTTCAGTGGCTCCGCATATTACTCAGAGCAGGGCACCACCGCCTGCAGCCACCGCCACGGACCTTGGACCTCCCTCCCCACCACTCTCCCTTGCATCCCTCAGCACCGGCTCTGGGCTCCCACTGCCCCACCCACACTCACACCTCAGGACCTTTGTACCTGGAAGATCCCTGCCCCAGATTTCTACAAGGCTCTTCCCTCCCTGCCCCACTAACTTTCAGTTTTCATTCAAATACCACCCGGAGACCTTTTGAAAATGCAGGTTCTTATTCACAGGTCTGAGATGGGGCCCAAGATCTGCAGTTCTAACCATGGTGATGCTGATGCGCTGGTCCGTGGACCAAACTTGGGAGTTTAAGACATTACAAATACCAAGCAGATTAGTATGGAAATTAAATGACTATCTTAGGTCTCAAAGCTATGAGTTGGTTCAAAGTATTGGATTTCAGGTCTGAGCACTAAAACTACCAGTGCACTTTTACACTTTATTAAAAATTCTGACAAAACAGAAGCAAATTAACATTTCAATTTTCACCCATGTAAAACTTCTAACCTGAATGGGCCCCGCTGACTCACGGGCACTGCCCAGATGTGTCCAAGCTCTGTTCAAACAGTGCACGTCCTAGTAAACCTGGAGGAGATAGCTGAGAGGGTGGGGCTATTTATACATGATTTAGAAACTTAACTTTGTCCCCTGGTGATTAGTGTTTCATTTACATAGTTACAGCATTTACTCTTTGTTGACATCTGCTTTAGGACACCATTATCTAATGCATTATTGAGCCAAATTTCCCCCAGGGCTAGGTTATCTCTTTTTTATTTCTTAGGCTATAAAGAGATTATGACAATGGGGAAGTGAAAGGAGCATTAGCTCCTCCCTGAGCCTACCTAATCCACTTCCTCTCTTAAGGCTGCAGGGTAACATTAAGTACACACTTGGCGGAGGGCAGGACCTGCTGCTACATGATTGGCAGGGCCCAGTACAAAATGAAAACGAGGGACCTCTTGTTCAAAGCTGTTAAGAATCTGAACCCTGCAACAGCGCAGCATCAAGCCAAGTGCCAGGCCCTTCTAAAGTCATATGTCCGTGAAGCCAACCCTGGCGGAGGGACTCACAAAATGAAAATCCCATGAATTTGGAAACTAACCAGATGCCCTCACTCTCGTCCCCTTTCTCCCTCTTAAAACATATATCAGAAAAGAATAGCTATGATGAGAATTGTGGTGTCATTCATTACATCATTGAATTAAAAACTGTCTTGCTCTCATCCTTGGCCTGCCTTTCCTTCATTTTTTTGCTAAAATATCTCAACTTTATGACTCCAACAGGGCTAAACCTAACTCTACCTTTGGTCTGAGTAGGATAAGCTGGTTTACCTAATTTATGATAAGAAATCTACAGCACAAATATATTTAGA